ACTTAATATGCTGTAATTACAGCACATTAATGAATGTATAGACATGCCCAGTGTGTCATTAAAGTATGGAACTCATTGCCACCAGATGCTGTGGAAGCTGACAGTTTATACAGATTCAAAGAGGGATTGGACAAATTCTTGGAGGAAAGAGGGATCAGTAGCTATTGAGCATGAGTTAGAGATACAGGCTGTGAATCAGAACTTCCTAGACCTCAAATGCTTGAGGATTCAAGTGAGAGAGGAACAGTGGAAAAAAAAACCCTGGTCATACCCAGTTCACCCTTCCTTTCAGCATCCACTTTCTGCTACTGTGTGACACAAACAGACCTATGGTCTAAGTAAATGTAATTCTTATTTTCTTATGTTTTTAGACATGCTCTGAGCATCTGTGACTGACAGACAATGCCCCCAATTGTTTTGTATCACAGGAATTTTTCTCTCCCCATGAAATCAGACAGGGACCAACAGGCAACCATCTTTATTGTACAAAACAAAGGGCTTAACTGAATGCTTTCCAAGCAAAACAACAGTCAATAATAGGAGCTGAACATGACATAGAATAGCGCCAGCTCCTGGCTGGAGTGCATAACACATGCACATAATCCTTCATGCACAACACTTGTGATTAAATCACAGCAGAAGCTGGGAGTTCACAAGACAGGCAAAGATTTGGAGCTCTCAAGGGCTTTACAAAAAGGCTGGAAATGTAGGACAGAAATGGCTGTGTGTTTTTTACTACATTGGAAATAACAGGGAAAGTTCTGCTGCTGGAGCAACAACACAGGACTTGATGATCCTCAGGGGTTCCTTCCAGCCCAAATTTCTATGAAATCTATGAAATCTCAGATTACATTAGCAGATGTGTAACTTTAAATGTTGGTGCCCAGGGCAGTGTGAAGAAGGAGGCAGGGCACCTACATTCTCACCAGGGATCCTGGTTTTCTCTGATAAAAAAAAATCACAAATTCTCTGATTAAAAAATTGCAAAATTTCTGATAACCCCCCCCAAATCTGTGATTAAAATTAAAGACCCCCCACAATCTGTTGGGCCCTGCTGGTACCCCTCACTCCCCCCTACAGTCCTCCCCTCCCCAGCTCTGCTCATGCTCCTTGCTCCACCTCACAGCCCCCTGGCCCTGCTCATGCCCCTCAATCCCCACCACAGCCCCCTGACCCTGCTGGTGTCCTTCACTCCTCCCCCTCCCAGTCCCCACAGTCCTACTGGTGCCCCTCAACCCCACCCACAGCACCTGTCCCCAGCCCTGCTGGAGGGGCTCCCAACTTCCAGGGCTATGGGGTCAGGGACCCAGGTCCACAGCCCCCTGCCCCCGACAGAACATAGCCCGCTCCCCACCGCTGCCTGCCTGCTGCAGGGGTGGGGCCAACGCCCCGCTATTGCATGCACTCTCAGTGTCCCCCAGGTCTGTGCATGGGGTGGGCTGCCCACTGTGGGCTCAGGTTCCTGCCCTGCTGCCCTCCCCTGGGGCCTCCATGGTCTGGCGGGTGTGACTTGGTACTGCAGGGCAGAGTGGGGCCGCACAATTAAGTTGCTTGCCTCTGCAAGCTCAACACTGCCCTGGTAAGGCATCCCCTGTGTGTGTGGCAGCAGTTAGGGACACAACCCCACACTGCTGCCCCTGCTGCTGCCGCACACATAGGGGACATGTCACCTGGGCAGCACAGAGCTTGTGGCAGCAAGCAGCTTTCGTGCACAGCCCCACTGTTCCCTGCCATGCCAGGTCACACCCACCAGGCTGTGAAGGCCCCAAGGGAGAGCAGCAGGACAGAAGCCCAAGTCTGCACCAGGCAGCCCACACCTGCCCCCACTCCACAGATTTGAGAACAGGTTCCTCCTGGCCCTGTGCGAGTGCATGCTGTGGCAGGAAGCTGGCCTCCCTTCCCTGCCCCCCGGATGAGCCACCTGTGGCCTTGTCCCACTCCTGCTGGGGCCCTGCAGCTGCACATTGCAGCCCCAAGCCCTATATACTGCCCAGCTGGGCAGCAGCCCCAACCCCAGCCCTAGCCCTGCCCAACTCCCTCCCTCTCTCCCTGTGTGGCCTCAATTCCCCCTGCCACTTACCTGCGGGAGCTGCTCTCCGGGCTTCCTGGCAGCCACATGCATACACATGCACATGAAACACCCTGCCTGACCACCCTCCTCCCACTCCCTCCCAGCCCCCTGCAGGCTGGAACTCTACAAGGCTGCAGAGGACTCATCCCCAAGCTGCAAAAGCCATGGGTTTCTCTGCTAAAAGGAGAAATCTGGGTTTTACTCCAGCAAGGGGGGAAATCCACATTTTACTGCCTTTTTCAGAGGGAAACAGAAAACCTGGATCCCTGCTTCTCATGCAGACTACAGCAGTACAGGCAGCGGCACCAGCTGCTGCTGTCTCAGCCCAAGCTTCCCCAACACAAGCTGCAGCAGTGATGCAGGCTCCCCGGGGGCTGCCATTCTAGCACCCGCTTTGAACTGAGACCCATGGCTAGTGCCCCGGTTGCCCTCTTCAATTTGTGCTACTGTACATTAGCAAAGTTGGTCCTTCAAAGACTCCAGTACAAATAAAGATATTTGATACCTCAGGATTTACTTCAACAGGAAGGGGAAAGAGGCAGCCAATTTCCTCCATTTCCTTGGAGTCAACCACAGCAGTTCAGCAGCTACTGGATATTAGGAAGGTAAAAAACATCCATGGGCATGATACTGTGTATAATTTTTTGGTCAAATATATAATTCACTGTCTAATCGCAGCAGGAGTTATGTTTGAACCCTCTTAAATCAAGTTTAGTGCATAAATTTCCGGCCAAGAAATTAAAAAGAAAACTTAATTTCTTATTAAATACAAGCAGTTTACCTATAAATGTATTTTCCCACAAAATGATGCTAACAAGAACACTTTCCTTCTGTAGAGAGCCCTTTAACACATTCATGGCCAAAAGGAAGAGCATTTATATATTCTGGCTGCCACTGAGAAAATCTTAAAAACTCCAGCAGCTATTAGCAAATATTACTTCTGCTAAAAAAAATTGCAGTATTTAATATTCACATGGGTCACCAAGGCATAAAAAGGAGCCATGAGATAGTTCTTTAACCAATTGGCATCAGCACCAAACACAGAACATGGACAGTTGCAACATATGCCACCTACTGCAGGCATAAACAGATAGACCCTTTCCAGCAACTTAATTGAATATTCAAGAGTGATTTATGCTGGTGAGGAGATCCCACACAATCATGAGTGCCCTCAGCTTTCTAGCATCTATTGCTAAATTGCTATCTCATCATCACATGCTTTCACTAAAGTTGACTTCTATCCATATTCTAATTTCAGTCTGGGCTTAAACCATGGCACAGTACAGTAATTGCATATTCTGCTTTGACCAACTGCTTGAAAAGGATATTTGACTTTGGGCTACCAGTGCTTTTTTATATCTAAATTTTTACACGTGCAGTCATGAATGACGTGTGCCCCCGGCAGCTGGGGGAGCATGGTGGTGCTGGAGGCAGCAGAAGCACACTGGTGGTGGCAGGAGCGCAGTGATGGTAAGCAGGGAGCTCCTGCAGACGATACTGGCGCTGTCAGCAGTGTGGGGAAGGTGGCAACTGCTGACCAGGGGTCAGCAACCACCCGCAGATGCCACCAGCAGCATCAGCAGTGGCCAGCAGCAATTGCTGACCGCCTGCAGATGCCACTGGCAGTGTTGGTGAGGGGAGAGTGGCGACTGCCCACAAGCATCGCTGACAGTGTTGGTGGCACCTTTTTGTAGGAGGTGCACTGCCATGCTCAGGGAGTGCATGTGCACTCACATGCACCCCCTACGCATCACCAATGTGTGCTGTGATCATTATTGTAATCATTCATATTACAAGCGCTCTCCCATGACTGGTGAGTTTTCAGCTTGAGCTTTGGGTCAGGCAAATCTTGATTAATCAAGTCCGCTCCACGTTCTAATTAGAACATTTGAACGTTGCCACAGCATCAGGTGTATAAGACTCTGCGGGTTTGAAAATGGCCACTGGGGCACTTTAAGTAAAGCTTGTTGAATTAACTTTAGTTAAAACATCCCGCAGCCATTTTTAAATGTGCGCAGGCTTAATACACATGATGCTGTGACATTTTAATTAGATCATCTCTCTGGGAGCTGCTGTAATTAAGACACCCCACCACCTACCTCCTGAGCACCTGTATAGGCACCCCTGCTGAGCACCCAGCCCTGCAAGCTTTGTTCATTTGGTACAGCTGAATGAAATCCTTTGCATCTCCGTTGGTCACTTGAACTGGTGGCAAGGGTAAGCACAGGTGGCCTGCACACTCTGGGAGAAGCAGAGATTTGCAACCTGTGAAGGGGTTTGGGGTCTCAAGTGGTGGCTTGTGTCAGCCAGAGGTTGCTGACTCTTGACCTAACAGTCTTAAGACTTTTTGCCCACTTTTCATGCATGGACTTTGCCTCCCATCTTTCAAAACAGACTTTATATTCTGGTTGGGTTTCTTCTGTGCTTTTTCCCCACACAACTCTCTCCTTACCCAATAATTTTAAAGCCAATATATTACTTTCTTTGAGATATTTAGAAAGGACATAGCACCCTGTAAAGCACAAAATCATTTACGCTCTTCAAATCCATTTTTCCTTTCCAGGTTCATATTACATGTCAGTTCCTGCTTTTGTGCTTTGTGTTGGGTGAATGGTTTTCCAATTGCCATCATTATCATATTATTATTATTGTAGTGTCTAGGAGTCTCAGCATGATCAAGGCCCCCTATTTCCAGGCTCTGTTCATACATACATGTGGTAAGAGACAATCCCTGCCCTTCGGAGCTCAGATTCTTCATAGGCAAGCCAGACAAAGTGTAAGCAGCAGCCAGTTACCCAAGGTTATATAGCAGGTTGTGAGCACAGTCAGGTTGAGAACCAAGGTCTCTAACCCCAGTTTAGTGCCCCATGTATTGTGCAGCTACTCCTGTTCAGATCCTTTGAAGTTTTCTAGGCAGGCTGACTCCAGCTAAATCCTATGGTACAAGGAAGAAAAGGTGAGAAAAAGATCAAAGATACATGGATTACATAAAAGGTAGAAGTAAAACATGGTCACTTTTCTCTGTACTGTATGTAATCCTACCCACATATCAATGAACTCCCCACTACAATGCACCCTGCTACATACATGCCCTCCCTTCTGCCACCGGATGGGTTGTTACAGCCAGTGCCCAGATCCTTAGAAGTACATAGACATCTAACTCCCAATGGGAGATCAATGGGAGTTAAACACTAAAATACCTTTAAGGATCTGGCCCTCGGTTACTATAGGATCTGAGATTCCTGGTTGTCATAGGTGGAGAATGATTTGCGTAATTAGCTGTATTTATGCATCACTTGAGCATATTGTATAAAACTAGCACTTATTTTGGCTCATATCTGATAGCCTGTTCTATGTGCCGGGGGAGGGGAAACCCAGATATATTTGCATATATATAATAAACATAATTTCCTTTGTATATTTTTGCCTTCACAGGAGAGACATTCCAATCAGTATGCAGTAGTTTTAAACAATACAGTTTTATTATTGAACTTAACCCTTGAATCTCATTTCACTGTGAGTTTTTCTTTTCCCTGTGCCTAGTCTCTGCAGCCACATTCTCTGTTAGAGCTGATCTGGCTAAATACCACTGTGTAAATTATTATCCATTGTCTGGATTATATTTCCAGTGAATGGAGTGTCAGCCATAGAGGACCCGATCCTGTGAGATGCTGAATGTCCTTTATTTCACTGAAAAAAACTAGAATTTAAGCTCCCATTGAACTTGAGCTTAACACAGCAGAGCCTAAGAATGTGAGAGGACATAAAGCTTCAGTGTTAAAGAATTTGTTTTTCCTCCTTTTTTTCCTTTCATAAAATTTGCTTTTATCCATGAATATTCTCCTTCGTGCTCTGCTGGTGGTCCAGTGTGATAACGGACACTGTGCAAGAAGGAGGGAGCCATCTTTATTCATATGCAACACAGGGCAAATGAATTCTCCACCACAAAGAAACTGCCTTTCTAGAGACTGAAGTTACAACCTGGAAATCCACTATCTGAATTCTGTGACGAGGCAGTGGAGCAATTAAAATCAACCCCTCAGAAGTTAGCTAATTAAAGATAAACACTCTTTTCAGGAAGAAATGTTCTCAAACTTGCAGGGGACTAGGGGAAGCTGGTTCAGACCCATCTCATACAGTCAGGGTTGAAAAGTCTCTTTCTCATACCTACTGTTTATACAGTGTAGTGCACAAATAAGATGCTTCAGTATAGATGAAGACCCTACTTCCAAGACTTTCTATCTAAATGACAAAATACAGGTCTCCGTTCTATTGTCTAACCGCACAATGGATCAGGACTTGGCTGGAGAATGGGGGAGTTTTGCCTATTTACACCGCACTCAGTCATTCTATATGGATGCTTTGTGGCACAGGGAACATCACAAAGCCAAGCAAGGCTTGGGATATTTTAATTCTCCATGTTTCTGAACTCTGGACTATATCTTTTTTTTTTTTTTTTACATGAAGAGTGTCTGACCCATTCAAGTGATTCTGTGTTATTGTAGTGAAAACATCTTGGTGTAACTACAGTGAAGACTCCACCTACTAACCACTTGGCTACGGTTAGAGCACTGTTTAGAAACTGTGTTGTGTGCCTGCAAACGTACTGCCCAGTTTTAAGTGGGTTTAATGTAGTGTCAGATAGCTAGAACAAATATGGCTGCATACACTTAGAAGATGTCTAGTATCATAGCTACCACCCAACTTGCAACTGGTGTCCAATACTTCAGTTACTAGATTGTGGGAAGGATTAGGTAAAGAAAAACAACTTTCAACAGGAAACAGACTTTCCATTGTGGCCTCATTGTACATTCTCTGTGCTGCCTTTTCTGCTCAGTAACACAGGCCAGTTTTGAACACTCTAAATTGTCAAGAGCTGCATGGGTTTCCCAGAGTGTGCTTTGTCTGACAATACAGAAGACGGGTTTTGTTAACTGACTTGAACTCATTGTCCTTGCCCTCCTGTCCCCACCACCATCATCTCTGCAGCCCAGCCCCGCACACCCTCCATGGCTCCGTTACAGTGTTTGGGTTCATGAAGTACAAATTAGCATAATCAGATTAGCTGCAGGGGTTGTCCATTTGAAAAGGAAAGAAAAGAGAAAAAGTGTTTCACAAAGAGCAGCCCTGAGCAGGGCAGAAGGGGCTGTTATTGCTGTTGTGCCATGGCTCTGAAAACCTGCACCTGCATTGCAAGCAGGTCCTCTTCTAACTAAGGACTCTTAGATGGTATTAAAACATGGAACTAGGGGAGGAGGGGAAAGAAAGGGTGAAAGCAAGCAAGCCAGAAAGCAAGAGTCAGCCCTGCATACCATTAATTGATTTATCTGGATTGGGAATGTGCCGTTTGCTGACAGTGGAAAACGCTGTTTGATTCCTACTCAGCATGGAGAGGAGATCAGCCCGGTAATCTGGTCTATCGAGATAAGAGTTTTAGAGCCTCTGCAGGGGACTGATAAGAAACGCAGGAGGAATGAGGCCCATTGGCTGTTTTGATTTTGCTGGTTTTGTGCTTGGTTTGCATTTCAAAATCTGGGGGAATTCTCCATTTGGGGATGACATTTCCATCGTAATAACATTTTAATTGCCAGTCCTTCAGTTTTGCAAGCACTCTTTTAATTAAAAATAAAATGAAATGAAAATAAAAAGGCAGACTGATTCACATCCCTGCAGGAAGCGGACAACAGGTACAAGTCATCGCTTCCTTACCATTTGAATCTAGTGCAAAGCTTTCTGGAGGTGCTGCAAATACAAACTGCTTGTTTATTCCCTGTCCAGGTTCATTGGGTACAGTGGCGGTAGGAACTGATTTGCATGATTGCCAGAGCACCCTCGTTAAGTCTCTCTTCCCTGACCTTGCTTGGAGCAGAGCTCCCTCAGAGGACTCAGTACTGAAATCCCTGGCCAAGGTTTTGAAAAACAATTTATGATTTAAGGTATATGTATTTTTGGCTGCCCAAACTGAAATGCCTTAAAAGAGCCTAATCTTAAAAAACAAAACAAAACCACACACACACACAAAAACCAACAACAAAAAAACCATGCTGAGCACCCAGCCTTAGTTTGCTTTTAAAGTGTGTTAAGTTGGGCACTCATGATCACTAGTTCTTTCTGCAAAATGTCCACCCTTAATTTGACTAGGACTTTGCCTTAATAAGACCATCAGGCTTTGAATCCCATAGCTATCTAAAGGCTCAATCTGATTCCAGCCTGAGGTTTCCTAGAGAAGAGGAACCACCCTCAGTTCAGTCCTACATAAACAATCCTAGTGAAAAGCTGGTTAAATAATAGCAATGACATAATATAGCTGATTAATTTTGTTATTTTTAAATACATTTTGAGACTATTTTTCAATTGTTATTAGACATGTCAACAATTATATCACACATGTATTTGTCCAATTATCAGATTAATTCAAATGATCTAAACATCATCTTTTACTACTATTATGTATTGGCTCACCCGTGATGTTGGTATCTAATCTGAAGCCCATTGACGGAAACAGTTCTGGATGCCAGTTATTTAATTAATGACTGTGGTGTACTGGACTATGTAAACTGAAACAAGATGCTGGAGTCCAACTGTCTGTACCTCTAAATGGAGGGTATTCATCCTAGAGCATTAGCAGCAGCATCCATTTTGCTGTATGAAGAGGCAGAATGAGCAATCTTGTGGCATCTCTCTCTCCCTTTCACAGAGATTAGTTGTTGTTGCTGTTCTTGTTTCTTCACCTGAAAGAAAAATAATTTGGAGTGAAAAAATACATGGTTGTCTCTTGAGAAATGGGGATAAATGCAAGGCCCTTGGGGTCATACTACAACCTCATCTGGCTTCTGACACAAGTGTCCAGGATTTGAAAAAAAGCAGAGCTTACCTTTCCTGTTCTGATCTTCAACCCAGAATTCCTAGTTAAAATTCTGCTTCCTTACCTGCATTTAAAAGTTTATGGAAAAATTTTCCCAACTCTGCATTTGCATTTTGCATGTCTACACAGACGTGTTTCTCCAAGAATAGAATTTCACATTGTGCGCACATTTGCATGGTTTGTTATTTTCGTCAGGAGGCACTTAAAATGCAGAAAACCTGAGCACTTGCCTTTTGTGGAAAAATTTAGGAATGAAGAACATGTTCGTGACATCATTCAAGGGAAACAGCTAGAAGATATGACCCATGAGAAGTGTTGTGCAACACTCCACATTGGCCAGTGGAAACTGTTCCCATCCAAGACACCGGTCCATTTTTCATTTAAACAGAGGGCAAGTTAGCCCAATACAGAACATTTTTGAAAATAAAATCCATCTGTGACCAAGGCAGTGCTCACTGGTTAGCAGCAATTTGCACATTCATACCTGGCTCTGTATTTCTGCTGCTCATAACTACTGAGATCATTGCAGAAGTACATTTCACCTTTAGTAATGCAAAGCACTTTAATTATAAAACTCTAAGAGACCTATTTTGGCCTGTAGTTGGATATGACTGGCAGGGACCAGTGCATTCAGTGAGGGAAAATCCAACCCATTTGCCAGTCCTAATGGACACTAGGGTCTAGATCAGAGATTGACATTTGTTAAAACACCTATAAGACTATCACACTGCTGGAGGGATGATATTTTTCACATCTTGTTCAGAAAACTGCTGTGTCCAGCACCTGGACCAATATGAATGGGTGAATCTTAGTGAATCCAGAGTTTCACAATCACTGGATCAGCTCTAGAAGTTAAGATCTGAATGTATTTATCTTCTGTTAGCATAGCCACAAGACTGGTTTATTGACCATCTGTAATCCAGTGCCCCTTTAGCACTTTACTGCTAGCTCACAGGCAAGAGTGGATCCAGAAGAGTGCAGTGGTGCAGTCATACTCCACTTCCTCCACTGTCCCCAGCTGATGATGCGGGTGCAGGAGGAGCTCCAAAGCCACTACTTCCCTACTCTAGCCACAGACTGTGGCCATTCAGGGCACCAGACATGGCAGGAGACAGAAGCAGTAGTGCTTGGGCTCTTCCTTCCTCCCTGCCAATCCTATCAAGCATCCCCTGCTTCCTGGGAGCAGGCACTGGAGAAGGAACCTGCCCCACACTGCCACAACTGTCCCTGGCTGTCAGGCACGGGAGGAGCCACTCTTGACCCACTCCTGCCCTGCAGTGCAGGAAGCAGCTGTGCACAGCTGTGTGGGGAACGTGGCTTAGCTAGGGATAATGGAGGCAGCATGCCAATTCCTCCTTCCAGCACCTGCTCCTGGCCAGTGGGGGAGTGTGAGGGAGTGGTGTAGGGAAGGAGGGTACACAGGGAGCAAGGACAGGAAGGAGGAAAGTTTGCTGCCGCTGCTGTCCCTGGCCAGGCGTCCCATGCAGCTGTTGCCTACAGGCCCTGGTTCTAGGTCCCCTCCACAACCCAACATCAACAGGGGACAATGAATGTAATGTCAGCAGGAGGTGGGTCCCCCCATCCTCCTGCTGACCCAGGGGTTCCAGCAGTGCCTCATCCTCATCCCCCCCATGGCCTCAGGTGCAGTGTGCTCCCCACCTTTAGTAAATCTTGGATCTGTCCATGTTCACAGGTAATACAATCATTATTTTGGTTAGTGCAAAAGAGATTTAACCAAGTGGAGATTGCCTATAGGCTCAGAACCAAATTCAGCTCATCTACTCTGACTTGCGCTCAGCAGCTGAAGATGAGAGTACAGATTCTCAGTTCCTAGCCTTCTTTTCTCCTTCTAAAGTGCTCTTCTGCCTCCAAGACCCATATTTGACCCTTCTACACATTGATATCTGTTCTGCCCCATTCCCGTGCCATATTCCTCCTTCCTTGCCAGCCTCACATAATCTCTTCTTTCTTACTCCAGCACCCTGCCAGCTTCCAGCAAGGTGATTCTTAGGGCTGTGCAAAACGGCTGTGTTTCGATTCGGTTTCAGATTTGGCCATTTCAGAGGACAGTGATTCGTTTTGGTGTTTCAGATCACTGTCCTGTTTCATTTCAACTGAATCTGTTTCGAAGATTTGGCTCTGCTGAATCTCCTCCCAATCAGTTTTGAACAGGCGGCAAGGGAAGCTTCACACAGCGCTACCCAACTGAGCGGGGCTGGGGGCTGCAGGTCCCCAGTGAGAAGCAGGACAGGGCCATGGGTGGCTTGTCCAGGGGAGGAGGAGGGCCGCTGCCCTCTATGCATGTGAGGAGACCCCTGGGTCGTGGGGCAGGGAAGCAGCTCAGAGCAGCAAGCAAGCCTGCTGGTCCCTACCATGTGACCCAGCTCTGCAGGGAGCAGAGGCGGCAAAGAGACCCCAGCGTGGATCTCTGCTGCACAACCTGGCTCTGCAGGGAACCTCAGCAGGGTCTCCTCACTGCTGCTGCCCACCCCACACTACCCCAGATCTCTGTTCCCTGAGGAGCCAGGTTGCATGGCAGAGACCAGCACTGACCTGCCACACAACCTGGCTCTGCAGGGAACAGAGATCTGGGGTAGCATAGGGTGGGCTCACCGCTACTGTCTGCCCTGCACAGTCTCGCATTGCTGGGGCAGCATGGGGCAGGCAGCAGCGGTGAGGTGACCCCCCAGCACGGATCTCTGCTCCCTGCAGAGCTGAGTCACGTGGCAGGACAGCAGCGTACAGCTGTTTCCCTGCAAACCCAGCTCCAAAAGGGAAATTTTCCAAAACGTTTCCAAAACGTTTTGGATGCCTCGTTTGATTTCGGTTATGTTTCTGAGCCTTCCATTTCAGTTCAGATTTGGTGTTTTGGGTGCTGGAATGGCCTGAAACACCTCCAAAATGAAACGGCTGCTGAAATTTCACACAGCCCTAGTGGTTAGGTAGAAGCCCACACCCAGGTGGGATGGTTATGCCAGGATAGAGCCCAATAAGAGGTTCCAGCTTTGGGAAGGCACCAGATGATCTGTAAGGTCCCTTCCAGCTCCTAATAGCTATGAATTTACCCACACAAGCATCGTTGAAGTCTCTCCTAAAACCCAATTCCAGGTGTTTAATTCCTTAGTGAGTTTGGGCTCTTTTATGTTACTCGGTTGTGTTTCTTTGTATGTCAGGAAGCCTTTTGGTTTAGTAAACAAAGCAAACCTCAATGGTGTTAGTTTCCCCCTAGGAAAAGGCACAGTGTCTGAGTTAGGAAAGCCAGAAAAATACCAAGCGTTAAGACACACTAAGTCCACATTCTGCTTCCATACCACCCTGCATTAATGGGAGTTACACAATCACTGCAGAATGTACCCATTTATAAGGACACAGGGTATGTATTTCCCGTTGACGCACTTCCTCTGCCTGGCCTGTACCATGGCTTTAGAGTGTGACCCTGATAGGTGACTAACAAGTATATTGCCCATAGATTGGATACCAAATCCAAGAACCAGTGCAAACCCTCTTCTATAGGAAGACTTCCACTTACTTCACCTGGCTTTTGTACAAGGCCATTTACTGGGAGCAACCATTTATTTCCCCCACACTCGTTCATGGCCATGGAGATCAGCTGGGAAGAAATACCCATGGAAGGTATTGCTGTTTCCAATGGACAGCATGCTTCTTGGAGCTAGATGGCCTGTGGTCCTATTTGGGGAAGATCTCTCCAAGTCATAATCTAGGATGAATCAAGGCCCCTGCCTTCATCTTGCGTTTCATGATTTATAACCCCTGTCATTGGAGTGAAGGGGTGTGTATTCATTTATGCAGGGTGGGACTTTCAAAAGAACTTGGCATCAGTTTAACTCTGCTCTCATTGCAGTACGGCTGGGCCAGCACTGAGTGCTTCTCAAAATTTTACCTGTGACCTATTGATGTTGCAGTGGACATGTAAGTTGCTTCTGTTTCAGACTAAGAAATATAGATCCTTTCTAGGCACCAAATACGCATTGGATTGGCTTCCTCTTAACTGTATCCCTCCCTTTGATGCCTTCCTCAGCAGCTGCTGTTTTAAAAGTACAATTTGCAGGAATGAAAACCAATGGATGTAGAGCCTGCCACTTTATCTCTGGCTTTGTGATTTAAGGGTGTGACTTTAAAGTGACCTCTGACCCAGAGGTCAGCAGTTAAGCTGTCCATTCTCTCCCATCCTTTTATCACTTAGCCTTCAAAGAACAAAAGTCAGTTGTGCATTGCCTGCCCTGTTTTCATTGGGTCATCTCAGACAATTCCTTTATGTTCTAAACATTCACAGGGACCAAGTTAAATGGAGAAGGCTGATTTACTAAACATCTTTCAAATTGTACTTCCCTGAAACGCATCTGAACAGCATCACTTTTCCTGTCCTGTTGCTTCTGGAGCTCCCAACAAGATTAATGATCTCCATTTAAATCCAACTGTAGCATATATTGCAATGGCCAGCTCTAGATGACCTCTTCTTTACAAGGATCTATTGCAATAACTTGAAATAAGGGTCTAAAAATATGTTGCCACTGTTACATGCTCTGTTTTCCCTAAAAGTTTCCATTGCACATTCAATGTCCTTTTTTAATCAAATCCAACTGAATAAGGAACGCTTTGATTTTTTTCCTCCCCTAGTGATACACAGTGCACAACTCTCGTCACCTTATGGTCGGTATCACTAACAAAGCTGTTTAGCAATGGGCCTTGTGTTAAACACACAAAACATGCCACAACATCTCCACAACTGTGAAGGATGCTTCATGAAAAAGAGACAGCAAGACCATGTCTTGTCTTCCACCCAGTGAAAAGCTTCTTTTTGTTATGGATTGGCTTGGACATCTCTGGTTGGTAACTGCACGAATGGCATAAATGGGCAACTTTACCTCCGCTGGCAACAAGCTTTATCTTGTAATCATTTAAGTCAAATTACAGAACTTTGAGCTCCAAGGATAAAAAATCATGAGTTTCCTGCCCAAGTTAACTACACAAAAGATAGGAGAAAGAAAGTGTTACCATCCCTAGTTTACAGATGGAGAACTGAGATCCAGAAAAAATGAATGACTTACCCAAGTGTGACTGAGCCCGTACCTACCGAATCACAGCCTGATGCTTCATCAAAAATGCCTTCCTGCTCAACTAAATATTGGGCACAACTGCAAAATCTCATCCTTACTAGATAGACACTTTAACTAAGTAGTAGTAACATAACTCTCACTCTGCTCAGTTGATTTCCACTGGGAAGCTCCCAGGGGCTCCAAAACTCTTGTTCTCACTTGCATTGAGGCTCTTTATAGTGAGGAGATGATTTTAAGGGGTGTTTGGGCAGATTAGCTTTAGGCTAGAGATTTCCTTACTCCAGAATCACTTGGCATACTTTTTCTCAGGCATGTCTCCCATAGAAGTCAATGAGCCCAAATCCTTGTTTCTTCCATTCCTGTGCCAGGT